CTCTTGCAGGCTACCATTAAAGACAAAAAGCCTTAAATGGCTATGTCTGCGGTAAACATCATGTCACATGTAGTTAAACCAGTCTCCAGATCACTTCGCCCACTGCCTCATCGCCTTTGATAATGTCCACCGCAGTTGTGGACGAAACGCCAAGAAGAAATTCCCATGGACCACTGCTCCAAAGCCCGAAAAACCTTTCTGAATGTGATTTGACCGGCCGTGAAAGCCTTCACACTTTCATACAGAATACACTTAGACCGACTTTGCCGGCAAGTAACCAGTACGCTTTCCTTTGGTTTACAAACGTCAAGTTGATTGGCGGACAGCACCTTTACGAAAGGACGCTCTCCTGTTGGTGTCCTGTCGGTACCCACCTGCCCCAGACCATTTACCACCAAGTTTATTCTGAGAGAGCGTCCTTTTCGCCGGATTGCTGGACGACAGTGCTTCAGGCGGAATTATATGCAATCCTCGAGGATGCCACAGATAGGAAAGTTACAGAAGGGCCAGAGGGAGTGATCGAGATCTTCTCCGACAGCCAGGCTGCCCTGACATGCCACAGTGGCCTGAACAGACACCTACACCTACTAGGAATTGGAGACAGCCCCGTGTGCCCACAATGTGGAAAGGCGGATGAAACATCATACCGCCTATTAGGAGTCTGCCACCGCTGGTCGTCTACTAGGAGGCGCATCCTCGGGGCCTTCACACACCCGCATCGAATTGTCTTCCTTGTAGGTACCAAATATTAATTTCACTTAAAACGAAAATTTTGGAATAGGTCTGAACAGCGTAAAACAAACAAATTTTATGTGAATAGCATTAGTAATCATATCAATAAACAAATAAAAAGACTATTATTACATTAAAATAAAGTGCCATTTTATGCCTTGACAACAGGAAAATATGTTTGCAGCACTTGCTGATAAATGTTCTTGTCGACTTCTAAGAAAATGCAAAATATTACTCTATCTATTTTGTCACTTTCCCTTTCCAAAAACTTTCTAACGTTGTATACAGCAACATGTGCAGCTGCTTCATTTGGGTACCCATAAATACCAGTTGAAATGCATGGAAAAGCAACTGATCTGATATTGTTCTCTGTTGCTAATCTTAAAGTATTTAAATAGCAGGCTTTTAATGCTTCAGGTTGCTCGCCTCGGGGCCCCACAGCTTGTAGAACATCTAAAACAAAATAAACATAACTATACATACAAGTATATGGCATTTTGAGAACGAACAATGGGTTAGAAGTCCTCAAAAAAATAGTAGTTTTAGGTAGGCGAGAGAAAATTGCAATCTTTTTAATGACGACGGCGTTTTCCAATCGAGACGAAGTCAAAGGTGATTTTCATCGACGCATCGAACGTTTTTTTTATTGGAATATAAGAAATAACAACTAGACTAGTAGAGGGATCTTGGAAACTACAGCAGATACAACGAAAGTTAAGTGGACAAAGAACTGTAGTTTGGAATGCTCTATTAAAAATCAATTTTATTTTTCTAAAATTTGACAGCTGTCAGGAGATATGTGAAAAAAACTGATTTATGGCAGATTTTTATATGACTCCTAGTTCCGTCAATATTAATCTGACAGGAAAACATTAAATAAAAAAGTTGTAGCAAATTGCATTCCAAATAAAATTGAGTTTCTACAAATTAACATATGTCAATATGTCATATGTGTAATCTGTCATTTTTGACATATTACACAAACTTCAGTTTTTTTAATGGCAACAACATTCTTGAATAGAGCATTTTATTACGATTTCAGTGATTTATCACATCGTAAGGTGTTTTCGAAAATAAAGTCTGCTAATGATTTTAACTTTCTCAATTTAGTAAAAGCGCCTATTTAGGTTTGTGGGTTTTTTCGGTCAATAGATGGTGGCAAAAATAAAACAACTTTTTCATGGGCTGATGTTTCGACTATATTTAAGTCATACTCCGGACTCTAAAAAGGAAATCAGAGGGGTTTCAGCCTTGAGCTTACTGAAGTTGATACAATTCAAGTGAATGACCGTGTCGTCATTGAGACGTAATTACAGTCATTAATAAAAATTAAAATTTAATATTGTCATGTAACAACATAAAGTCAAAGGTGCAGAAAGACAAGGGTAGCACCACGGTGCCATCCAAAAACAAACTATACCTATCAACTACAGGATAATTTCACTGGACGTAGTGTCACTTTTTACAAACATTCCACTTGATTTAACAAAAGAAATTTTATTATCAAGATGGTCCAAAATAGCACCCACTACATCACTGGAACAAAAAGACTTTGATCTTTGTACGAAGTACAGTTACTTCATGTTGGAGAATGCTTACTATCACCAGATTTATGGTTTGGGCATGGGGAACCCATTATCCCCCATCTGTGCTGACATAGTTATGTCAGAACTACAAAATACATGCCTAAAAAACCCTAAGTTTGTCTCCCATTCCGCAAAAGATATGTGGATGACATCATAACAGCAGTACCAAACGATAAAAACGCGGAGGCACTTGATATTTTCAATAGCTACCACTATAAATTAAAATTCACTACGGAATTGGAAGAAGATAACAAAATCCCATTTCTGGACATACTACTCATTAGAGAAAACAGTACACTTATAATTGATTGGTACCAAAAACCAACATTTTCCGAAATATTTCTTAACGATTATTCAAAACATAATATGAAAATAAAGATTAACATAATCAAAAATTTGAAAAATAGAGCTATTGCACTCTCGTCTACAATTCCCTCAAAAGAATGTCAACCTGATTAGAGATTACCATTCAATAACAATTATCCACTATCTTTAATTAATAATACGCTAAATTATATTTCATAAAATACCCTATGTGGAAGCATGGTCAGTACATGGAAAAGTAATATGATCAAAAAGTATCAAGTTAGCCTTCTCCAGTTCTAACACTGTTAGAAATTATTTTATACTTCACAAATTCCAACATAATATATCAAATACCCCGCTCAAATTGTAATCAATTGTAATTGGCAAAACAGGTAGATGTTTAAAACAGAACACAAAAGAGACTCAACCATGACCAATATAACCAACCCTACAGCATTGGTTGAACATCAAAGGATTACCAGCCATAAGTTTGACTTTAATAGCGTAAAAATTCAAGACCATCAGCCAAAACTAGCAAAACGACTGTTGAGTGAATCAATTTTCATAAAAACTAACAACTCTAATTAGTAAATTTTAGAAGACACAGAAAATTTAAGTGAAACCTACAACAGCCTTTTCAAAAAACAATCTAAATAACTAAAAGTTATTAACATCATACCAACTACTAATGGCTGTAAAATCGGAGTTTTGCAAATGCAAAAAGAAATTGATAATATGTAGAATATTTTATTATCAGCGAAACATTTTTCACACCTTCCAGCACATACTAACAGCCAATCTTGGCAATACTTTACAATACAATCTGGTACTTCGATTGCGGTTTGCCGATTAAGACTATGCTGACCTTATAGAAAATCTCTTAACAAACAACATTTATCCTATACATTTTTCGACCTAATGCCGTTTTCCAGGACTTTTCACCCTCTAAAATTCACCAATTTCCGAAACAAAACAACGGTCGCTATGATGGTTCAGCTCTTTGCGCCTGCGTGCCAGTAGAAATTTTTCGCGTTTTTGCCGGTACTATATTAGCACTTTCTTAGCATTATCACTTCCTTAACCTTTTCATGTACATAAATCATTTAATATACATAGCTATTTAATATAAAATAGATAATAATTAGTAGTACCCAGATGATATATTTTCACTACTTTTCCGATTCTCACCATAATTCCAATTAACCGATTAGGACCTCACACGCGTTCATAGACATCCATAGAGAAACCCAAGGTGAAAATACTTTATTGAGAAAATAACCGATTACTTTATTTTCTTTGCATGCATACATAATGAATTTGATATTTCAAACCACTGGCTGCACAATCATATGTATGAGCTTATCAGTGTCGTCTACTATTTCCTGTATGGACGTTAAGTTTTCTGCTAAATTTTGAACCTTGAATGAATTACTTTTTTGTTTTCATTGTGAATTTCTACTTTGGTGGCAGTTCGGCAACATGGCTGGCCAGTATGCCATTTTCGGCTACGCGTATCGTGCATACGGGAATGTGCGCGTGCCACAGCAGACTGGATCGTAAAGAATTACCCCATCTTAAATACACTTACCTCGAACGGTATGTTGCCCTTGCCAACTAACCCCCTGTAAATATAGCACTACCTTCACAGGTAAGTCATTACGTAATTAACGATTGCGTCTCTTCCCATAACTGCTCTTGTTCGTTGTATCACCAATCGCTGATTGCGCCCTTGCTAAGTTTTAATTTTTGTTTATGTATTATATTTGAATTGTATCAACTTTACTAAGCTCAAGGCTGAAACTCCTCTGTTTTCCTTTTTAGAGCCCTGAGGATGACTTTTATAGTCGAAACGTCGCCCCATGAAAAAATAGTGTTTTATTTTTGCCACCATCTATTGACTGAAAACCCCACAAACATAAATAGGCGTCTTTAATGATTATCATCACGGTCACTAATTAACCACATCATTTTTCCAATTTAGTTAGCCATGGAAAATAGTATAAGGCAGAGTGTTTCAATAGTAACAAATAATAACAACACATTTCAATTATTTTACATTCAAGTTGAAATTCAAGTTAGAAATTAGGTTAGTTTTATTGTAAAAATAGATTATTCCAATGAAGAAAAGCGCGGTATGATTGAAAGCTACATTGATGTGATAAAAATGCTAGACGAGCCTCTGAAACCCAGCGCCACAAAACTGGGAATGGAATCAATGGAATGGTTTGCCTCCTAGTCAAATAAATGCTAGAATAAGATGGACCATCGTTCTGTATTATATCTGCAGCATGTTGACTTCAAAATATTAAGAGATACTTTGCTTACATTTTGCTGGTAATTCATAACCTCCCGTAATTTTTGCATGTCCAGTTTCACAGCCATTTAACGAATCACATTCATCTTGCAGATATTTTCCAGCAGCCTTATGGATGGCACCATCAACACCTCCACCACGTTTCAATCGACTATTCGCTGCATTTACAATGGCGTCTATCTATAATAGCATGCAAAACTTGAAATGTTATTATGAAGATGTGCATTATAAATAAAATGATTTTAACTTCTTTTAATAATATATTACATACAATACTTTATTATGTCCCCAAAATTTGAAGTTTTGGCGCTCATTATAGACGAAATAGCGGCTTAAAAATGTTTTTTTTTTAAATCTAACTTTAACGTCCTGTGGATCCGTTATTAATGAGTTTTCGCAAACGTGTTACCAACCGTGTTGTCACTTAAACTTTCCGTTAAGGGTTGTCATATGGGTCGACATATTTCTGACACCCTTGTCTCACTGAACTTCTACCGGACCACGGAGTTCCATATTATCTGTCTGTATTGAAAATYGGAATCTCAGGTAGGAAAATATAAATCAACCGTTGGCGTGCATTCCGTGAGTACGCAATGGGCTGTAGAGCCGCCTGGAAGCCCCGCCGACGGGGTTGGTTGTTCTACAGCACGGGCTCAAATGTTCAAACTAAATCTGAGACTTAATTGGAAACTTGGAGATCAACCGTTGGCGTGCATTCCGTGAGTACGCAATGAGCTGTAGGACCGCCTGGAAGCCCTGCCGTCAGGGTTGGTTGTCCTACACCACAAGCTCAAAGTTTTTCAGTAAAGAAGAGATGAGGGGGGGCCGCAACCGGTTCCCACCCCCACAACAAATATAAAACCGAGACACTCGACCGAGAAAAGTGACTCATTTGATGGCCTGTCAGTTGAACGATCCACATCGAATAATTCCTTTGTCACTGTTTGTCTACTTGGAACCAGCGTATTGGGTACAACTTGTTTGGCACTCCAGCGTGTTTTCCCCCGCAAACGAAAAACCACGGTTTTTCAAATACCAAGAGAGAAATTTGAGCACGCGGCTGCATCAGAGCCAAGTGCAGGTCCCCCTTTTTTAGGGCTCCGGAAAGCCTAATGTTAAGTGCGATGAGTGCGCAGAAAGACCCGGCTACGACCGGCCCACAAAAAAGCCAGGTAAGTGCCTCTGGCAAATTCCCCAAATCGACCCCTTATTCTTACTCCACCCACTCCTACAACACAATTAGGAAAGAACGGGACTCACAACAGTCCCAATTAAAAAAAGCCCTGGCCACGATCCAAAAACTTAACTTTAACGTAACCAAACTTTCCGAGAGGCTACCCGCTCTCGAATCTCCTGGAAAACAAATCCCGCAGGACAATCTAACACCACCAAAACAGCCCCCAACTACGGAATCCATGGAGGTGGACCCAAACTTCCCCCCCCACCCTAAAGCCCGCAGCTCCATGGAACTTTCCTAAAACAAACAACAAGACGCTTCAGAAACATCTCCAGGCTGAAGACCCCAACAACCCAAACCCCAAAATCCGAAACTACCAAATCCCCTCAACCCTCTCAAATTCCTAAACCAAGGACGATTGTCCCAATCACGGCCAAGAACCCGGCAGACTGGACCAAGATTCAA